TGGGGCAGAACACGTTCTTGGCTGATGGTGTGGGCTGTCTGGGTGCCCAGGGCAGGCAATGCCGTCGCATGGGTGTTGCTCGTGCCTGAGTCAGCACTTGTGCAGTGCAGCTGGAGTCAGAGAAGGAGGGGTTCTGATCTGCTTTCAGGTGTCCCTACCCCTAAATAGGGACACACAAGCAGGGAAAATGAGGTCAGTGACAGCAGTTTCCAAAACGCCCAACCTGATATCCTGTCTTCTGATCTTTGTGTCCAACTCTGGAGCTCATGGTAGACAGCTGGGCTCTCCTTACTGAAATGGGGTCAGCAGTTGGCTGGGAGGGGATTTAGTCCTCACAGTATTTGTGTGGGAAGCAAAGAGAGGGAGGAAGGGGAACTGGGACAGGGGTGGAAAATGGTGAATAAACAGCTGTGGGGATGGAGTTCTGCAGAGAGGAGGAGAAGTTGGGGCTGCCCAGGAGAGGGGAGGAACTTTGGAGTGGGATATGTACCTGGCCTTCAGGCCAGTGATTTAGACAGGCTTGGCAGGGAGTTGGGTGTCTGGTTTTAGGCAAATGGTGTGATGTAGAATTCAAGGAGGAGCTCCAAAGCCTGTGAGCTTGGCTCTGAAGGATCCCATTGAACAAGATGCATTCTTAGCTTGATTTCTGTCAGGCTTTTGGATCCACTGAGCACTCCCTGCTGGTGAGATGGAACAGAAGTTTGACTGGTTTCCTCCCTAGAAGTCTGGTGGAGTTCCCTGGTCAAGCAGAGGAGCAAGGCTCTGTTAGTGTCTGCTTGGAGAGACAGGCTGCAGTGTGAGTTTTGCTTCCATATTAGACATCAGAGCATCCACACGAGTGCGGGGGCCCAAGGTGCACTGTGCTCTGTTCCTGTGGTGGCTGGCTGTCCCTCTGGGAACCAATGCTCTTGCTACACCATTGCTGCTTTTGGCTGTTGCTGAGAGGAAACCATCAGCCCCAGGGCTGATACTGAGTGGCATTTCCAAAAGCAAGTTCAATAGGCCTTACTGCTGGGTTTCTTTCCTCTGCTTTTCCAGTGTTTCCTTGGTTTTGCCAATTCCTCTTTCCTGCTGGGAGATGATCCCACAGTCTAATAAATCTCACTTCCCGTTTTAGAGAAAATATTTGTCAGCAGATTTTCTCCTCTCTCCTACAAATATCTCTTGCATTGTTTTTATTAATTTGTCTCCAGCAAGAAGGAATGAGCATTTTTGCCATTTCGAACAAATTCCTTGCCCAGACAAAGTGAGGAAATTTGTCTCCAGTGTCACCAGTTTGGCAGAGAAGAGCTGTGGGAAGCAAACCATGGAAGTTCAGTTGCATCTTACAGATTGCAACAGGGCTGTAAGGAATACTTTTTTTTGGGGGGGAGTTTGTGGGGGGGGGAATCATCTGGGGGTCCTTTCATTAAACAGAATGGAGGGACTGCAGCAAACCACCTCTTTTGCAGGAATCCCTTTTGGCTTGAAAGGAATTATTCATGCTGTTACGCAATCCATGTTGAATTTTCAATTTGTCACAGTTTTCCCCTTCCCCCCTTTTTGTCCACCAGCCCAACCAGGCTCCTGCTGGGTCCCTCCATTGACTAATGTGCTTTAGAAAGAGTCTTAATGCGTACGTACAGTCCTGATCCGGCAGCCCTCGTGCGCTGGGAGCTCTGCTTGGCACAAGTGGCTGCAGTGCAGATGCAGGTCGAGAGTCCCTCCCAGTGTAGGGTTACCCCGCCAGGAGGGAGAGCCATCATTTTTCAGCCCGAATTCTTTCCTGAAAGGCTGCGGTTGCCTGGTGTCTCGGCTTCCCTCTGTGGATCCGTGTGGGAAAGCCACTCGCATTTCTCAGCCATTCGCATTCCTTGCAGGAGGAAGCCTCAGAAGCAGAAGTTTGCGGTCCTTTGGAGTCATAACCTGAGTGTGGTCCCAGAGTAAAGATACTGGGAAAAGTTCAGGGCCTTTGCTGCAGTAAAAGTTTGTCTGGAAGGCGATGGCTGAGCTCGGTGTTTCATTTTGCTCAAAAAATTCAGATGTGGGATGGAGCTGTTGCTGATATTGTATCATTATTGTGGGGGAAAAAAAATTTCTCCTGGCTATGCTGTCCTTTTGCAGGAGCTCCTGATGACCTTCACCATCCTCCAAGTGGAGAGTGGGGTCTGAGCTGTGGGTGATGCCCATACCCGCCAGCGTAGGCACACCCACACATGCTGGCTGATTCACAGCGATGATGCAAACAGCTGAACTGCCAGGGGATGGGGTAATGTGGGCTCTTCATTCTGCTCCTCCCAGGCAGTGCTTTGCAAGGATCAGTGGAGGGAACTGAAGATTGCAAAGATAGCTGTTGCCACTTGCATTTTCTTTTGATTCCTTAAAAGCTTAAGGAAGGGAAATAATGGGTTTGCCTTTCTTGTTTCCAGGGTGTTCATGGGTATATAACAGGCCGTAGTCAGGGGTCTGAAGAATGTTTTAATAAATAAATTCAAGCAGAAAATAACTGATTGGAGCCAAAGACCCTTCCCAAAGACCCTTTTGGTGCTTTCCTGTTGGAGCACAGACCTTGAATCTGACACCCCCACCTTTCCCTATGCCTGTTACTAATTCCTCCTGCTGCAACAAGTGCCGCAGCCCCAGCTGCTGAGAGCAGCCCTGGGCTGTGCTTCACCCCTGCCCCTCCCTGGGGCCCTGGACATGCCAGTGCCTGCATCCTTCTGCTGCATCCTCCAGCCAGATGCAGCAGCTTCTTTTCTTGATGATTTTTGAAGGGCGAGAGATGGGATGTGGTGTGGTGGTGGTTGTTAGGTACATCAGCTTTAACAATGTTTGTAACTGTCTCTACCAGAGAAGAACTGCAAACTTGCAAGAGCAGATCCTTCCCTATTAAAATCTGTCATGCTATATTAACTCAATAAGGAGGACAGCTGAGCAATAAAGTGTGAACGTGGTCATTGTTTAGCTCTTGCACTCATAATGACTTCTATTTCTTGTTTTAAAGCAGCGTACTGGCTGTCCCATTTTGAGCCTGGCTTCCTTCCAGATGAGCCGTGTGTGTGGGCACGTGTGGATTATCTTTGTCTCTATGGCTACCCTGAAAACTTTTGAACCAGAACATTCACTGGAAGGATTGAGCTCAGATACTGTTTTTTCTACAGCTTTTGTGAAACAGTTGCTGGGTGGTGGGACTTCACCTTGTTTGCGTACTGATGCAGCTGAGTTTCTTTTGCAGCCCTATCAGACACAAGAGAGCCAACAGTCTCTTAAGTACAGTCTCAGGAAAAAGCTACATTAAAAAAAAATAAATAAATAAAACATCCTCAAGCTTTGCTAGACCTGTCACTCCAGTGTATTGTTATTAATTAGGTCACTTTACTAATTACCTGTTCATCTGTACATAGGAGCAGTTGATGGTTTGCTGATGGATCCCAGCTGGATACTGTAGAGCATAAGAAACTGGACCTTATGAGTTGCATGTGGGCAAGAGGGATTTGATTATCACCTCTGAGACCTGTTGTTTGCTGAGGTTTTTAATCATTTTGGTGATCCCTCAGGTCCCGGGGGGTGGAAAAGTATTCTTTGAGAGTTAAAATGTGTTTTTTTTTTTTTTTTTTTTAAATTTAAGAAAAGGATTATTGCATTTAAGCAACTCACTGTTGTGTACTTGCTAAGTGGTGCTGTCAACATCTTGAGAAGATAACAAGTAACAGCAGTTACAAATATCATTATTATAAGTTCTGGCTTTTTCAAGCACCTCCCCAGTTGGGGACTTAAAGATGTATCTAATTAGTCAGTGTTTCTGGCTGTGGGAGATCACTTGCTGAGACTCCTGTTCCAGAGATGTCTGTCTTGATGGCCTCTCTGGATCTTATTCCCTAACAAGCATAATCTCTGCTCCCCTCCTGGAGGCCACGCATTCTACAGGGAGGGTGAGGAGTTAAAGTGGGAGACTAGTTGGGCAGGTGTCTTATGGACCACCTTGTGTTATCTCATTTTCTATAGGTGTTAGATCTCCCATCTAAGACATGTTCTTAGGACACTCACTGGCTTGTCTGACGCTGCTGGCTGGGCTTCCTTTTTTTTTCCTTGTCCAGTCACAGCAGTGCACAGCTGCTGTCTGGCACCAGGAGTTCTTGCGCCACTGGATTCCTCTGCACTAGGTTGGACCAGAGGATCAGATGTGGTGCTAAGTGAATGTGTAGTCTCTTGTCAGTCTTTCTAGACTGTGGGAGTCCAGTCTTCTGCAAACAAAAATAATCAAGATTTTTCAGCCTATTTTTTAAACAAGCAAGTGGCAGCATTTCCCATGTTTCATTCATTCCATTGCATGCCCAATGTAATAATCTTTGAAGGCATTTGAACTACTTGTTATTCATTTTGTGAAAATTGGCAGAGAGGAGAGACCCTTTTTAATACTTTAAATTTGACGTCAAAGAACTGCATGGGAAGCATTCCTCCATGCCAGCCCTCTGGACTGTTGGCCTCCTTGGTTCTGCTCTCTGGAGGCCATGCTAGTGCACTGTCATTTTGGGCAAAGGAGCTGCTGAAACTGGCCTCATCAATTTATATTTTTAAAATGCTTGAGAATATTCTGTGAGAGATCTGGACATACTAATGCAATTCACTGAATAGGCTGTGTTGGAAGGGACCCTGGAAGGCCATCTGGACAACTCCCTGCAGTGAGCAGGGACACCTGCAGCTTGATCAGATGCTCAGGGCCCCTCCAACCCAAACTTGACTGTGTCCAAGGATGGGGAATCCACCACTTCTCTGGGCTACCTATTGTTTCTTTCTGCCTTCTCAAACCTCTTCCATCTCCTTCTCCAAATGCTTCTTCTGCTGCTAGAGTCCAGTTCCTTTTCTCCAAGTCTTTCTTGATCATGCAGCTCAGCACAACCCTCAAGTTCAGGGTAAGCTGCTACAGAAACTGCTGCTATTCCCAGCGGGTCTTCCAGGTGGGAATCCTTTATGAAATGGGTTTGGATTGGTGCCCGTTTGGCATGAGAGCAGAAAGAAGGGCAGGGTCACAAGCTAATGTTGTTTCAGTGCAAGAATCAGTGAAGGCATGGGGGGAGGGAGGACGGAGAACAAAGGGAAGAGTGTCTTTAGCTGAAATGAGAGTGCTGTTGCTTGAAGCCAGGAGTAAGATAGTATTAGATATAATTGAAATAGTGAAATAAGTGGTGGAGAGAAAAACGTGGGGATAGCTGCCTCTGGACATCTGTACATGAACAAACAGCTGTCCTAGGAAGAAATTACCCTGGTTGGGAACTGGTTAGGGCAGGTTTACTGAAATGCAAGAGATTTCATCATGTGGTTGCAACCTTTTTTTTCTCCCTCCCTGTAGGCCATCTGGGGATTTCCTAGCTGATCCTGTTCATGCTCCTTTCCTGGGCACTTCAGATCTCTGATAGATGCCTGTGAACAGCTGTGGTGGAAGAGCATAGACCTAGCCTAGCTCATTAAGGGAAAATGAGTTCAGAGCAACTAAGGTGATTTGGGAGCATTAATCACTGCCTTCAGTGGGAGATAAGGGTTGCTTTCAATAGGCCAGTGCAATGAAGGCATGATGGATCCAGTGAGGTAGGCAGATGGCTGCTGTCTTCATGGAAGCAGTGAAATAAGATTCTCCATTACCCTTGGCAAGAGTCCTTTGCCCTGCTGCATTGCTTCAGCAAAGCACTCTCATCTTCCAGTCATTAGTCATCCTCTTGTTATTTCATTTTGTGAAAGAGATTATAACCAGCTGAGGAGATAGGGCAGCACAAGAGAGCAGGCTGCCTTCCTATACCACTGTATTGTTGCTTTGTCTTTGCCTTGTTCTCCTTCCAAACCCATGGCCATTACAACCATACAATGGAGAGCAGGCAAGAACATTCCTTATGGTGAGTGGAGCAGCCAGTCTGGACTTGTGCAAGTCTAGTTGCCTCATCCTGGAATTACACTATCCATTGTGGAAAAACAAGAGCTGGAGTCAGGAGTCCAGCACTCTGTTCCTGGCTTTGCCACTGACGCCTGCATGATCTTGAACAGATGACCCTCAGTTACTCCAGCTTGCCTCTGTGCTCTGTTGTAAGCATTGAGATGGTACAGTGTTGGTTTCAGAGAGCTCTGAAATCTTAATGCATTTGAGGAGGATGACGAAGGCCTTCAAACAGATCCTTGTCTGCAGTGCAGCATCTGAGTCAGGCAGACCAGGAGGACCAGCAGTAGCAGGTGGACTTGAGGAGCTCTGCTTCAGGACCTGAACCTGAAGATCCTTATTAGCTAATCCAGCCATGAAGCAATGAGATAAGAGGAGAGCTGCGTATCCCCAGAGGCCTGGCTGTTTTTTCTTTGAAGAAGGATTTGGGAGACAAGATTATCTCTAAATGGGTTTGTTCATCAAGTTGTGTGCTGGAACTCCGTTGTCCTCAGAGGACTGCAGGTCAAAGTGGTCATCATCAGTGATAACAGCAGCATCTGACTGTCTTAGATGTAGAATCAGATTTATGACTTTTAGGAGGCCATATGACCTTTGCTCCTGTGGGGTCTTGAGGTTCTTGCAGGCCTGAACCTTGGTGTCTTAATCTCCTCACCAACTGAGAGCAACGCTCTCCCCATGAGTAGAGAGCTCATTACAGCATGACTTTTCTTAAGGGCAAGCTGGAGACTACTGTAGTCTCTTATGTGCCTAGGCTCACGTACATTTTGGCACGTACACCTCTTTGATATGAGAAATGATTGGGTTGAGAAAATGCAAATAGCTTCTGTAAAATTGCTGATTCTTATTTTATGGGAGGAAGAAGAGACGCACCCAGTTTTTTCCTGAAAGTCCTGAGTTTGAGGAGTGCCTAACCTCAGCCACACTTTGTAATCACCATGCCCAGTGCCAAGCAAGAGCAGGAGTTTTCCAGCAGGCAACAAGATGATATGGTGAGGTGTGTTTGCTGCAGGCAGGCAGGGGCAGCTGTCTCTTCTGGGGTTTTGAATGGGTCAGCTTTGCTTAATCTGTATTGCCTGAGATAAAAAGCAAGTCAGCCACACAGCTCAGGGTTAATGCCTGGGGTTGTCTTGGTTTGGGCAGCTGCAGTGCATTGAGGCTTCTTGTGAAGAGGCAATCCTTGGAGTAAGGCAGGTGAGGTAATTGCCACAATCCTCTTCCTCTCAGATTTCACAAAGCAGCTCCTGCCTTTTCAGGGCTGATGAGAGAAGGAAACCTCTTGCTGCTTTGTTGTTTTTTTTTTCTTTCCTTTTCATTTAGCTTTTATGTGCAGGGAGAACAGCATGCCAAAAAAAAAAAAAAAGTGTGTTATTTATATGGTACTAAATGCACAGTGTCAGAGCAAGGGATTTGAACCTAAATATCTGGTGTGGCTGTCCTTGTATGGTTACGAGGACCTCTTTTTATCCACTGGATTGATCTAGCAGTCACTGTCTCAAGGATGGGAATTTTATGATCTTTTTTGTACTTGGGGATAAAGTGACTTCCTCAAGGTCTCCGTCATGGAGGGGGGGGGCAGAGTAGAAGAGCTTGAATCCAGTTCTTTGGAATCCCAGCTCATGAACTTGGCCCTGACACTCTTAATGGGACCTTCCTGATGTCAGAAGTAACTCCCCTGGAGTCAGCTATATTGCTTCAGTGTAAACTACCTTAAGCAGATTACAACCAGGGCCACAGGAGCCGTTTTCAAGGACTTTACTGTGAAACACAGCACACACAAATTGGAATGGGAGCAGAAACAAAGGCACTACTGAAAGCAAAGCTCTTTGGCCTTACAGTCAGTATCAAGAAGGGTACTGGGACTCTTCTCTCTACCAGCGTTCATTCTTCTTAGCCTAATTCATCCTATTTTGTTTGTGTTTCCCGTTTTTTGGACAGTGTTGGTTTTGATGAAGAAACATGCCAGAGCCTATGACTTCCATAACAAATGCATTCACTGGGACAGCTTTCTCAGACCAAGGATGGGGATATGAATGTTAAGACATAAATGATTTAATGATCTTCAGTGGAGGGCCTTTGTGGTGGTGGTTTTGTATGGTGGTATGTGTTTTTTTTTTTTTTTTTTAAATTTAATACTAAATCAAAGGGGTGGAATCTGAGTGCCTGTCATGAGGGGTCTGTGGCCCTGGAGCTGGTGACACCAGGACCTGTGGCATGTAGACTACACGAGCTTGTAGCATTGTAATCCTGGTCCTCAGCAGTCTAAAGATGTGCAAGGCAAGGTCTGTAGGAAAGAGGAATCTCTTATTAGGCTTCTGGAAGAGCTTTCAGGTGTGCAGGTTGAAGCCTGAAACAGACAGCAAAGTCCAAAGCTGTCTTCAGTTTGAGAACAAATACTTTGACCTTAATGAGGTACACAGGTATGAATTACCTAACTGATCAACGTATGATTGGGCTTGTATCAAAAAAAGTGAAATTAAAGTATTCATCTCCTATTGGAAATAAATAACTGTACCATCTGTTAAGCATGAGGCTTAGCTATGAGGAAGTGGGAGAGAATGACTAGGCAATAAAGCCAATGCCCCTGGTGAAACCAGGGTTTCCAATATCAAGCAGAATTAGAAATTCTTATTTCCATATTGAGGACTGGGACTGAGGTCAGAGGCTGCTGTAATCAGGAGACTTTTCATCGTGTGGCAGCTGAGCTGTGGGACTCTTTTCCAGAGGATGCTGTGAACAGTCAAAATTCCTGTGCTCAAGGGGAAAGTGGGGAGGTTGGTTGGGGAGGGATTGAGGGATTACTGAATGCACAGAAACCAACTCTAATTTAGGAAGCCCATAGGCTGACAGTGGTTGTGCTGCATGGAAGTGTCACGTGCTGGCTTGTTCTTAGTCCTCTGCCATCCACTTTTGACGAAGTGGGGCTGTGATCTGAGAGTTGTTGCTGTGATGGACTGATTGTTTTCAGAGATAAATGCTGGTGGTAGGACTATTTGAAGGTATTTGCAGAATATCTAAGAGGATGGCAGTTCATCTAAGTGCCTATAGAAATACCCATGGGAAGATAGATTAAAGCTGCAGGCTGTGAAATGAGAAGTGGCAGAAGTGGTGTGGATGGTTCTCTAATGTTATTAGAAAGATAAATGTTTCCAAAATAATATTGCTGTGGGAGCTTAGGAATGTATCTTTATATCTAGGAATACACATTGGCAAACACGTTGTATTAATAAGGTAAAACAGATATTCCTGGATGTAATAGCACAGATTTTTTTCATTAAATAGTAACAACACCAGCAAATGGAGGTGCTATTTTAGGCTTTGTTTTGGTAACTAGTGTTGATGTTACAGAAGGGCCTGGTTGTACAGAGGAATCTTGGACTTAGTGCTCATAAAATGGATTCCTTTTAAATTAAATGGAAGCCTAAACAAATGTCAGTCTGGAACTAAGATACTTGTCTTTGAAAGGGCAGACTTTGAAAGCTGAAAACAAAAACAAAAACCAAACCTGGCTGGTGAAGTCATCTGGGCAGAGAAGCATGGGAATATGAGCGTGGAGGACGTGGAACCTTCCTCTGGGTCAGAGTTGTGGGAATTCACTGAGCTGGGGATCCCAAGCAAAAGGAGAGCACTCAGTAGATAAGGGCTCCAGGCTGAAGTTGGTGGATAGCCACCTTAAAAGGGATAGTTGGATTAAGCATCTGTAAGGGATGGAAAAGTGGACTAATCAGCAAAAAAAAAAAAAAAAAAAAAAAAGGCATTGTCTTAGAGGTCAGGAGGGGTAGGGATAGAATGAGAATTGCCAAAAGTCAAGCTGCGTTAGGCCTGGCAAAGGAAATTAAAACAAATAGCAACAGGTTTCTCAGCTATATAAATATTGAAGCTGCTGTGCTTTAAGGACTAAGTGGAGGTTAAAGATGATGATCTAAGTATGGCTCCAGCATGAACCAACCTTCATTTCAGTTCTCAGTGCAGGCAGAGGGGATGAGAACACGGAAACTTTAAAAATTAATGGAAAAAACAGGAGACAAACAACTAAATTGAAATCGGTTGGAAAGCAGAGGCCAGCAACTTCCTGAAGAACAGGACAGAAATTTGCTATGGCATGAATGCAGATTATGGTGGTAAATAACAAATAGAGACCCAATATTTGGGCTCTCTAAAGGAGATTGAAGCACAGACCCCCTCAACATGACCTCAGGAGTGGATCTTGTAGTGGATCTGAGGGAAAGAGTAATTAAAGATTTGTGGGTAAATGTTGAACAGGTGGAATGCACTGAGTAGAGGCAGAGCATGCCAGGCCAAGGCACTACTTTGTCTAATGGATGATTTTTCATTTAAAAATGAATCAATCCAAAGCAGCAAACTGCAGTGATGGCCTTGGTAGGCATGAAGGTCTTCAGTGCTTGGTTACACCAAGTTGGGATCATTGCTATGGAGAGCAAGTTCATGAAAACTTCTGGGGAGTTGATCTAAAGGGGTGACTGTCAGAAATGGGATAAAATGCAATAGTACAGTGCTGGGCTTGCAACTGAAGACTGGGCTAGAATCTTTGAACAGGACTCTTTGCAAAACCCAGTCTCACTCAAATGCATGGAGAAGCCTCCAGTGGGGGGAGGGAAGTGTTAACCCCCTCTGAAAGCAGCTGGCAAGCTCTGGGCTGCAGTCATGAGCTTGGAAAAAAATAATGGCTGTGGGCCGGCGCAGGTGCAGGGAAGAGCTCCAGGGGAGCGGGAGCCTGTGTGGTGAGGAGAGCTTGGCAGGGGAGGACTTGGCTGCTCCCTCATGATATGGGAGGGAAACAAAGATGGGGAGAGGAAAGAGCACTGTGAGCTAGAGAGCAGTGCTGGCATGAAGACAGCATGCCATAACTCAGCCCTAATAATATCACGTCTGAAAACATGGCATGTCCTGCTGGCTGGAGTGCTCTCCTTCCAGAACACCTCCATGTAGCATCTGGAGGGCAGGGCAGCGCAGCAGCTTTCCTGTTCCCATTGGGTGATACCATGTGGCTGATGGCATGGGCTGATTCAGTGCCTTGGGACACCCTTGCACCACCACCAGGGATGGGTTTTTATCCCTTATGCAAAAACTATAATTATCATTTAGTTCTCTTGCACGTTCTCCTTACTCTTGTCATTGCACGGGGCAGTGTAGTGCTGACCTTGCCATGCCAGTGTTCTTCCAGCTTGGCAAAATCATGGGAGAGTAGCTGTTAAAGATCAATATTTATCCACCAAATGCAAAATAAAATCTTGCTCCCAGAACGTGGGGTCTAGTTCAAAGTGCAGTTGGATCTATGCTAAAGTAATGTTCCAGTTTTGCAAGATGAGCTGAATTATCAAAGGAAGTGGGGCTGTAGAGGTTTTTGCTGCTTTTGTCAATCCTGTTGTCTAGGTGCAGGACCTCAGTCTGCTGTTTTCTTTTTCTTTTTTTTTTTTTAATTGTAAGCAGCATGATGTACTCTGTCTTAAAGCAAATTTTCATGTATTTATTTATTTACTGAGATTTTATTCCTCAGCATTTCAGGAAAGCAGAAGTATCCTCTGTTTATTTTCTGTAGGCTCTAGAGTTTATCCCACAGCAAAGCCGAATTACTCCTGCTTTAGTGAAAAAAGGGAATCTGTGCGTTGTGAAGGAGATTTGCAGACAGAGAAATGGCAAATGCACAAAAAGTGAATATTTGCCATGGGGAAACTGGGGAAGCTTTCTTTTAAGCAATGCTCTTATACAATGCCGATAACAGGTAATGTGGCTGAGCTAGGAAGTCCTCGATAGTGAAATAATTCCTCAAGAGGAAACATCAGGTACATCCTTGGAGGCCTACAGCCCCCAGCAGAAACAGGGAAAAGATAGCTGGTATCTGGTACTTTAATTGCAAATGAAACAGAAGCTGGCAGGAAAGAAATCAAGATGTCTTATGCCTTGAAGGCCTCCAGGAAGCTCTTCCCCAGCTTATAACAGTCCTTTGTAGATTATTCTGGGGTAACTTATTCCTGTGACTTAATGATGGTTAGATTTTAGGCATTTGCTTCTCCCCTGCCCCTGAGTTCCCTGGTGCGGCTGTGCTGCATTTGGGGTAAAGGAGCAAGGTGTGCACTTCAAGCTATTTGTGGCTCACTTGACAGCTTCATTCTGGGAACATCCCGGGGAAGCTGATGGTTCTTTTGGTGCCAAATATTCATCAGCATCCTGCC